TTTCAGTTTAAAAGTAATCTAAATAAAATCGTTTACTGTTCGATTACGATTACGATCGTCGATACTGTATTGAAGTTCAAGTGCCGATTATTGTGGTTTGTGAGAATAAGGGCCTTGTTGAGTGTACTAACATTTTTCGTCCGTGCATGGGCGAATATCTTAGCTCGCAAAAGGGAACCAGAAACAATAAATAGAATAACTTATGATCTAAAGATATTTGCACCAGACCTTCAACTTTACCGTCGATCTCCGCAACCAGGGACTTCGTACCTACGGGTGGGGACCCGTTAAACTAACTTTCTTCAGTTTTGAACGATATAAATGTGGCATGTTTTGAATGTATATTATACTATAAACCTAGGTATGAGGACAGTTTCTATATTATTATTATTTCTCTTTTATTAAAGTTCAGGACAGCATAGTTAGATTCTCTGGAATAGTGATCATGGTTTTCTCTTTCGTGTTCTTTTACATGTGAATTCCAGGCAGAGTACGGCACTCCTTTCATTTCATTTAATAAAGTAAGTAGGGCTATTTACAAATTTAGCGTTTTATTTACACAACCTATTCTCCTCAAATTTCCCAAAATATTGTTTCTGTGGAGGCCGCATCCGAGATAATCACAATAAAAAAATATTTAACACAACGTAGGTTCCTTTCTTTCACTTAAATTTCTTGTTATACAGTTGGCCAAAATATTACCTCTTCAAATTTGTTGACGAACATGGGTTGTTACACTACAGGGTGAAGACACATCAGCGAAATTCAACCTGTCTCTGTCTCTGTCTCTAACTGACTAAAATGTTTGTCTTCCTTTTGTGTTTATGTCATTTTTACGAAATAAATTAAAATTTAAGCCCGGGAAATACAGGGTGAGTATTAAATCATTGCAAATATTTTCAGGGCTGTTAGATAAAATAAACATATTTTCTCTTTATCGTTTTTGAAACAAAGTCCAAAATAACCGAATTATTTTACTTATAAATTTTCCAAAAAAAATATTTTTTGCTTACATTTTCATAACCACTGGATCTTTTCTGGGTTTCCTTTCTTGCAAATTTAATATATTACCTATGTTGCCATATTATTAAAAAATTATGGTTTTTAACTAAAAACTAAAAAAAATCCCAAATTTTCACACAAACCTATAACTTTTTTATTTTTTCATATAAAAAAACGAAATTTGGTATGTTAATTTATGACAAAAATTAGGATTGATTGACGAATTGAATTGTTTTTGCTCACTTCCTGTTTCACCGGTAATTATTACAATTTTGATTTTTAAATGGCAACCTCCGTATATTTCTACTTTATTCGATAGAAGATGACACTTGGAATAGAATGACATATCATGTGTCAACTTTTGACGTTTTCAAATATGTTTTAGTTGAAATTGCAACATGCGATTCATAACGACAATTTGACTCGAAATACCAAGTTTGTGGCTCCAAATTATTCGTAAAAAAATGCTTTTTTCAAATATGCTAATGAGCCACCCTCGTTCCATTTGAAAAAATTGAGATAATGGTTAAAAATACGGTTTGGGGATCTTTTAACCGGCCAGGACAAGACACTAAACACATTAGAAGATCAAATCTATTTTTTCAATGCTCCTTGAATAAAAATTAGTGTTTTTAACACTCTAGATTAAAATTCAATTTTGTTTTAAGCAAAAATGTCAAAAGTTGACATATGATATGTCACTCTATTCAAAGTGTCATTTTCTATCGAATAAAGTAAAATAATACCGAGGGTGCCATTTAAAAATCAAAAGTTGTCCTCATTTCCGGTGAAACAAGAAGTGATCGAAACAAAGTCAATAAATTCAAATTTATGTCATATACTAACATACGAAATCTAATTTTTTTATTTGAAAAAATAAAAAATTATAGGGGTGAGCCACTTTCGAGACGCACCCGGTATATTTAAAAACGTTATGTACCAAGTATATCGCATCATTTGCAAACATTTCTTCTAAGAATCAATTTATTTTCTATTTTCTGATCTCTTTCATTAGAGAAAATCCAAATAAACTATCTATTTTTCTGACTGAACTAGTCCACTTCCGAATGCAACTCCTTCTCCTCACATCCACCTCCAAAGTTTCTTTTTATTTCTCTCCTCTATTTAGCAGTTCCGTATGAACTTTTCCAAGTTTGTTCCACCTTTTACAAACTGCAAATCGTTTCAGCTTTGCGGGTAGCTTTAGCGCTAAGCTTTTGCACCGAGATAGGTGCCTCTAAGAAATCTATTATGGCTGTTTTCCTGCACGCTGCTTTGCCACAGAGTGAACAAAACTATTTATGTATATTGTGTGGTTAAAGTGACACGCTATTTACACCCTTAAGAAAGATAAGTATTTTGAAGGTGCTTGTTTAGAAGATGTAGGGATATAAGTTGTAGTTTTATGTTGTTTTGTTAGAAGAGGGCAAAATGTATTTTACCTTTATTGCAAGTATTTTTTTTATGTAACTTAATACCGGTTGTATATTCTAACACTAGTATTGTAGTGTGTACACTAGTATTGTAGTGTTTCTAATAATAGTGTCTGTTTCTTGACACAAAATGGAAACGGTATGCCACAAATACGAAACCTATATATTTCATATGACTTTATTACATGTGTTTCATATTTTTAATGCCCCTTCTATGTATCATTATTTGTTGCTACAAAATATTTTTCTTTGAAATATAGATTTTTATTTTTATTTCTATATCATGGTTCTGAAAATAAAAATGTATAAATCAATATAAGTAGAACGCGTTCTTATGAGTTTAAAAGTTCAACAGCCGATAAAAACATATATATTTTTAGTTAAAAATGCTATCACTAGCCAACATGGCGGAATTTTAATTCAATATTTTATATAATTGACATGGAGTCGGACACAAATCATCTGCTTGATATCATATTTGTGTCTAAAAAGAGAGAAACTCGTGTTTCGAAAACGAATGGACAATAAATGATAACCTTGTTTCCAAAATGTTTCGATCCATAAAAAATATTTCGTCACAACGTGTTAACAACGCCAATCAAAACTTGTGGGCAAAATATCTTAATTTCCACAATAATTTTAATTAATTGGCGCTATCTTTAATCTTTATTAATTAAGCTTTAATCACTATGAATTAGTAGTGGGAACTATCGAATGAATACTATCGAAACATTCGATAGTTGCAATTCATTCGAATAATTCGATAGTTAGTAAGCAAACATTCGTTGAAAACTATTCGAATAAAAATTATCGAATAGATCCGTCATCTGCCTTGAAATATTGTATTCTAGTAATTGGCAGCAAAACCATTCATTTATAAAATTCATTCATTTATAAAATTCATTCATTTATAAAATTCATTCATTTATAAAATTCATTCATTTATAAAATTCATTCATTTATAAAATTCATTCATTTATGAAATTCATTTATTCGTCAGGATCGATTATAATAAAATATTAACTGAATTTTAGTTGTCACCCGGCGACGTAGGTTTTTTTCCCGAGAAAGCGGTCGGTGGCAATGCTATGAAAGAAGCCGGCATCTTTGATTTTTGCGGAGTCATATATAGATAAGGACACATTATTTTTTTTATTGAGGTGCTAGTATTTACACAGAAAATACATTATGAAGGGCGCTGTTGCCATATTTTTGTATTAGTTGATATTAGCAAAGAATATTATTGTTTGGCTTTAGTTAGTTAGGGATAGTATGTCTATATATTCTGCATTTTTTTATTAATATTCTGTTGTTACACTGCAATAATACTTGTTATTTTGGATGTAGGAAAATTATTTTTAATGTTTTTAAGCAAAGACTGGTTTAATAAATAATAATAACAGTAATAATTTGTTATACCTATTAACAACAAAATTTAAAATCATTTAATATAAATATTTTTTTTAAGTAGTAGCAAAATATAAACAACAAATTAGATGTCAAAATTATTTATATTAGATCTTATTTAAAAATAATATAGTCTCTAATTTTTTTGGCAACGTTGGTTTATTAAATAATAATAATTACAGAACTAATTTGTTATATTAACAACAAATTTTAAAATCATGAAATATAAACATTTATTAATTTTCTAAGCATGCAGTGTAATGGAAGGAAAATATAAATAAAAAAAATTAGAAATCAAAATTATTTATATTAGGTGCTTTATATTACTATTTAAAATTATATTTACTTTTACTGGCATTTACTTTAAAAATAAATGAAATATTTTTTCTTCGCAAAAAACTACATGTAAGAGAATTAGCATAAACAAAATATAAACATCGTTAACTTTTTTTTGAATTGGCACGTGTAAAACTTTCATTTTAATTTTCTCACCCCATAGTTTGAGTTCGATAACCATTTACTTAAATATGATTATACAACCACATTACTTAAATATGATTATTAAGTTCAACTAATTCATATTATTAAAACATCTAAAATACAAATATGTATTTTTAAAATTAATTGTAAGTTCATCTCATCTCTTAAAAATTGCTACTTCTCAAAATTTCCCATTAAAAAATAGACCATATACCATATAAAATGAAATAATTGAAAGATCGGACTACGGAAAACCACACAAATTATCGGAAAAATTTTGACCACCTGCACATGCACACAATCGTCAATAAATAAAATTAAAAAAATACTACTATTTTAGTATTTTAACTATTTTAATAAACGCAAAAATAGCACAGTATTTATACGGCGAAGTTATAAAAAATTGGAAGAACCAATAATGCACTGACGCATACAAAATCCAAACGAATACTAAATTTCATTTATCAAAAGCATTCGATAGTCGTGGCTCAACGATAACCATTTAGTCGCACGGCGAGGTTGTCACATATGCTTTAGTTTACAAATGAATGAATGATTTTATTCGAATAAAACCATTCGATAGTTGAAATCATTCATTCATTAACCATTCGATAGTCTAATTCATTCGATAGTTCCCATCGCTACTATGAATGTCTATAGATAATGGATTAGATTTACCTGGGTTTGCTACCTCACAAGGCAGTACTATTGTATCCTGGTCCTTAACTTTAAAAACTTGACTAGACGAAATGAATGTGGGTAGCGTGGCTGGATCTGTCTTTATCTTTGTTACTTCCCATGAATCTGTAACAAAAACATGAATATTATAAAAGTACTTCAAACATACAAAAAAAGCGAAAAGAATCATAGATATTCATGTCATTATTGACAAAAAAATAAACATGTTGAGTAGGTAGTTATTTGACTGAATGATAAATTTAAGAATTTTTATTTTTTTAAATTAATTATAAATTTTTATCGAGAAAATGATAAAACAGTTTCTATTGAACTTTTGGCACAAAAACATTTCAAACTTATGATTTCACACTAATAACTATTTCGTCAACATTTTTAATTTATGTCAATGATGACAAGTATTAATAATTTCGATTCCAAATATCTCGGGTACCATTACTCGTGCCGATTTTTACCAAGAGACCTTTTTACGTAAAAAACGTCGTTAATGTATACTTTTACTCAGTAGTTTTATACAGGTACGGACAAAAATTTATTACTCTTCTAAACAGTTAAAAATTATGTGTAGGTGGCTCCCTCTACAAGTAGGAGTCATATTGACATCAAAATAAAATTTCTCCTGTCAAAAAACTCCCAGACACCAATTTTCGTTCAAATATTGACGATTATTGTTGTTACTTCAGAAATTATTTGGAAAAAATCGAAATAAAAGTGAAAGAGACAGAGTGTAGAACACTCTGTATCTCCGAAACTAAGCATTTTGGGATATATATTAGGAACTGTTTTACTTATTTTTATCTGAAGAATATGCTGCCGAAGTTTCCGGAATACAGTTTGGGCCACACTGTATATTTAAGATTTTATAAGTTTTATGCCAAAATTTATTAAAATTAGCGTACATTTAACTCTATATCACGAAAATAATCTTAATCAAGATTATCTAAAATACGGCGAAAACCAGTAGTTCCAGATCTAGGTGTTCCAGTCTACTACATGTACAGGAAAAAAAATTGGAGGTGCGCAGACTAAGAAAATTGGTCAAGTGCGAGTCGGACTCGCGCACGAAGGGTTCCGTACCATTCATTATCTATACAACATTAGACACTATATTATCATAAACTTTTTTTCCGATTTAGCTGAAATTTTGAATGCGCGTCTAAGTAATTTAAAAAAAAATGAAGAAACACATTACTAAAAATTGTTTTAATCAATAATAAATATGTAAAAAGTAAAAATAAATATGTAAAAATATGTAAAAATTTAAAAAAACGATTAAAAAAAGTCGCCTTGACTAGGATTTGAACCTGCCTTCATAGCAGCGTAAAGTCCCTAACGCTTTAACCACGCGGCCACCGAGAACATGAAAGATTATATGTAAAATTCTTACTTAAAAGATAATGTTTAGTGAAAGTACTTTTTTATTTATAAACATTTATTTAATTCTGTTTTTAGTATTTGTTCTTATAGCGGCAACATAGATACATTATTTGTAAACATTTCAACTGTCTAGCTATAACGGTTCATAAGATAGACCTTTGTGATAGACGGACCGACGGACGGACAGCGAAGTCTTAGTAATAGGGTCCCTATTTTTACCCTTTGGGTACGGAACCCTAAAAATAAAGTTTATAAAATTTCGGACATTTTCTTTAGAAACACCCTGTATATTCGAGACCACCTCCAATACCAAAGACTTCCGACATAAATTCCACAGCATAAGTAGATTAAACTAGCGGCTTTCCCCGATAACTACGTCGCTCCCCGAAACAATGGCCCAAGACAACTAGAACTAGGAACTAGGACGTCGTCGTCGGCTTACTCTGGGCGGAAACGGAAATATCCGCTCGCAAGGTTGGATGGCGAAGCGTTCTCGCTTGAATAACCGCGGCAAGGAAATCAAAATAACGCGCTCGCGATATTGGCTGCAGGAACATCGGCAGATATTGAAATTCGTTCCGGGAACATTTCCTTAAACAGTCGCCAGCTTTCCAATATACCTTATTCCGCCGGTTACTTTGAATTGTATTTGAAGGCAGCGGCAACGCGGCGGTGCTGAGTTTGAACGAGATGGGCGGGAAATCAAATAAAGCGGATTCATGAGAAATGTATGGTGAGGATTGTGTTCTCAACTTAATAAAAATTATTATTATACTGTGTTTTTTTTCTCAGGTAAGATTTCGACATGACAGAAAAAAAGCAGATGACATACCAATCAATTTATTTTACCAAAAAAAGTTTCTAATATTTTTTAAGTATGGATGGGTTTATACAGGGTGCGTCTCAAAAGTGGCTCACCCCTATAACTTTTTTTATTTTTTTAGATAAAACAACGAGATTTGGTATGTTAGTATATGACATAAATTGGGATTGATTGGCATATTCAATTGTTTTCGGTCACTTCCGGTTTCACCGGAAATTACTGCAACTTTTGATTTTTAAATGGCACACTCGGTTCATAACGACAATTTGACTCGAAATACCAAGTGTGTGCTATCAAATTATTCGTAAAAAAATGCCTTTTCCAAATATGCTAATGAGCCACCCTCGTTCCATTTGAAAAAATTGATATATGATTAAAAATACGATTTGAGCATCTTTTAACCGGCCAGGACAAGGCACTAAAAACATTAGACGATCAAATCTATTTTTCCAAGGCTCCTTGACTAAAAATTAGTGTTTTTAACACAGCCATGGCACTCCAGATTGGAATTTAAAATACAATTTATTTTTGAGCGAATATGTCAAAAGTTGACATATGATATGTCATTCGATTCAGAGTGTCGAACAAGGGTGACTCATTAGCATATTTGGAAAAAACATTTTTTTATGAATATATTGATACCACACACTTGGTATTTCGAGTCAAATTGTCGTTATGAACCGCGTGTTACAATTACAATTAAACCATATGCGAAAATGTCAAAAGTTGACATATGATATGTCATTCTATTCAGAGTGTCATTTCCTATCGAATAAAGTAAAAAAATACCGAGGGTGCCATTTAAAAATCAAAAGTTTTAGTCATTTCCGGTGAAACAGAAAGTGACCAAAAACAATTGAATACGTCAATCAATCCTAATTTATGTCATATACTAACATGCCAAATTTCGTTCTTTTATCTGAAAAAATAAAAAAGTTATAGGGGTAAGTCACTTTTGAGACGCACCCGGTATATAAATCCCTGATGCGTCATCTCTTGTTGTTTTTAACCAGAGTTTTATTAGTTTATTTCAAAAATGACAGATCATATTTCAATATTATTGGTTTGACGGAACGATAAACGACAACCAGACGCCGGCGCCGATACATATCAACTCGACTTGAGATTTTTGAGAGTTGTCAAACTCTTGCCAGATTATAGGTTATAATTTTGTGTCAAATAATGTTAAATAACCTAAACCAAACCAAACCAAACCAAACACCCTGTAAAGGATATTAACAAAGCAAATAATTTAAAAATAATTTTATCATCTAGATCTGTCGTTGCCCTATGATGTGTTTTTTGGTTAATCTCAATAGACTTAATGTTTTTGGAGATATTCGCTTTTGAAGAAGATACTAACATTTTTTCGTCTTTTTTACATTAAAACCACACCTTTGCTTTTAGTCCTTGCCAACCAACCTATAAATTACTGTCTATGATTTATCTAATGTCTGCCTTTGAAAAATCATATCATTATTGTCTGTTGGGCAGTTACTGTAGCAGAGATGGTTTTAAGTTCAAAAGTTGATCCCTACCATGATCAATTAAAGTAGCACTAGCCGATACTCTAGAACTTATAACTATCCCTGGTAGAGTAAACGTCAATAATCAATAATAAATGACTTTCAATGACAGTGGCATTACAAAAGCAATAAACACTATTTTATGAAGGCCCAAAACCAAAGGCATACTTTCAATGCTAAAATTGCTGTAAATAATTACCTCGATAGTTACTGTCTTCAATAAAAATAAAGCTATTTAAATGAATAAAAAACATAGATGATAAAATGATTTTTAAATTCCTTACTTAATTAATATATTCCACTAACGAAGCATTTTAGGACATAAATTTATACGAACATTTTTACTTATTTTTATGTGCAGAATATGCTGCCGAAGTTTCCGGAATACAGATCGGATCACCCTGTATATTATTCTCTATATAATATAGCTCCTGATGATTTGTTTCCTCCACAACTAAAGACATGGATGTCTTCTTGAACCCCTCTAGTATTTTTACTTTTTTTTGTCCAGAAATAATTAAGAAATGATTAAGTAGCCTTAATTACAACGGCTTTCATTTGTCTAATCTACGACAAAAAGAATAATAATATAACAAATCATAATAGAGTAAATTGGTAAAATCAAAAACCAGACATTGAAAGAAACTCTTTCATTCCTCTAACGTTAGGTCAAATTTCTCAAATCGAAAGTTATAAAAAGAAGTACTCTTTTCGACGTTCTATCCCGGCTTCTTCGTACTTATTCAAATTTAACTTTTAATGTTGAACTATTCACGATTATTTCCATTGCTCCTTTATGGCCGTTCGACCGTTTCGATGGCTATGGCGGTTCCCGTGCTCAGGGTTTTATTTCGCTTTGGCCGCAAACTCAGCTCTCTCTAGGTTGCACCGCCATGCCGTCTACGATCCCTGAATATCTTAAAATCTATACCGTTACTTTTGCGAGAGAAGAAAAGTTGGAAGTTGAAATAAATAAGGAAGAATTTCGTTCGGTTTGGTACACGGAGGTGATTCGAAATTGAAGTGCATTTTTAGGGTTTTCTTTGTTTTTTTTTCTCAATGTAATGGACTAGAGAATGCATTACCAGTTAATCGATTTACCTGTTAAAATGCATTGAAAACGTGGTAAAATATTACCAGTAAAGGTGCATTCAGGCTGAGAGCGTTGAGCGTCGCGTCGCGTTTGCGTCGCGTCCGCGTGTCGAAATGAAATTAATTCACTTAACTTAAATTAGACCGTTCAGGCAGAGAGCGCCGCGTTTGGCGTTGCGCTAGCGTCCGCTGAGCGTCGGGGTTCGAGTTTAAAGGGGCGGACGCGACGCAAATGCGACGCGACGCTCGACGCTCTGAACATTTAATATGTTCTTTATATATCCTCAAAT